GGGTCACTGCGAGTCTGGGACTGTAAAAGAGGGAAGACCAGCAGCAGACCGACACGGGAAGTGAAGGGCGCCTGCTCGGGTTGCTGGAGCAGACCTTGTCTTTTGAGCAAGGCCAAGGTCTCCTCATCAGCCCCTCCAGTTCCCTCTCGCTCCTGCTGCTCCTCCAGGGCCAGCTGCCGCTGCGCCCCCCACAGGCCGCGCAGAGCATTGAGACGGTACTCCAGCAGTCGGGCGTAAGCGTTGCTCTGATTCCCACAGACGGCACGCAGACGCTCAGCGAGCTCTACCGGGTTCTTTGTCTCGAACGTTAGAATCTGCGGGGCAAAGACAGAACAGCAGGAAACAGATTAAGTTTACATTCAAAGCAGCTTTTGGAGAAGAATAAACCCTCGTGTCTATGAAATGATGGTCAGACGTAGCGGGGCACATATCACAAGTGGAACAATGTGCTTCATGTGCACTTAGGCAGCGATTCAGATATCGATTACACTCCGGCCAACGAATCACAGACTGGGAGAAAAAAAAAACCCATTACACCATTTAGCAGGCACAATTTGTATTGATTGGATTTCAGAAATGCTGCTAATGTTACAGTAACACTCCTCAACTGGACGCCGGGCTTTTCTCCACCTCGCTCGGCAAAACAACACTGCTGCGAGCGGATAAAAATAGTCGCAACACCTACGAAAGACAGCGGCGAGTGACCCGGTCAGACGCAGAGGAGCACAGAAATGTAAATGTTGGTATGAGATTCAGATCCATATGGATTTATTTAACTTGGTCCAGTGTGATAACAGTGTCACGCACCTTGTTTTTGGTTAAAATATCGCCTGCAGAAGATTACACCAATGTAAAAGTACGCAATTAATGAATGTTGTGTATTCCCCCCCAAGAGAAAAGTCCAGCTGTCAGTTAACGTTTACCAGCACGACCACGTTGTTTGTTCTTGTTCGAGAGAGCAGCTCAAACAGAAAGTCAGACGCTGCGTCTCCTCCACACGTCTGTTGTTGAGCTTAACGAAATGAGAAAACACGAAAAGGGGCGAGAGGTCGAACTGAAACCTGTTCACATTCATTAATTAACCAGTGGTTCGTCATGTGCGGAGCTGCTGATTGAACATATGCTTCAATACTTTTATCAGGGTAAATAAACGCCATGTGGCTGATTGCTGCAGCTGTTGTGTTTCTATCACTAGAACTACTGATGCTAATGACTTAATAAATTACTGATTAAGGTACTAACAGCAGTTCTGCATACAATGTAAACTGAATTATGAATGTCCTAAAATAATAATATTAAAAAGACCTTTGTGTATCTAAGCCGCACAAACACAGCTTTATCTTAACATGTAAATGTATTAATATGTTTCTATGTTTTTTCTACATGTTATTTAATAAGAATTGGTTAAAATGTTAATGCTGACCTAAATGACAATAGTGAAATAAATGCATAAGGTGTCATTAATTCCAGTCACTGTCTGTTATTGTCTAATATTTATCATTATATACGACCGACCAGATATTAAAAAGACAACACTGGGGCAAATGTACTCTACAGGCTGATGAATACACGGATTTCTACCTTTATTACGCGGTATTGTACCGAAATATCGAGGATGTAACATTGTTAGGTCGAAGTTTCCACCTGCATCACCGTAAAGTCTCCGCAGCCTAACAACACACTCACGTCCGGTTGCCAGATTTAACCTTCAAAATAAAAGCCCACTTTCTAGATTAAAAACCGCACTCCACGTTATGGCACGTTAAACCTAAACGCGACGTAAAACACATACTGTTTCTACATCCAGCATCTGAGATGACATTGCTTCTTTGTGTTTGGAGAGCAAAAATCCAGTCACGTTTAAGTGCGCTACTCTTGATTGACAGTGATTATAAAACACGTATAAAGTGTGTGCTACCAGCTTTAAAACATAAAAAGTAAGTGGAAGGGGGGGTAAGTTGAAGTGTGTGCTCCCAGCCTGATATGCAAATTAAATTACACAGCAAAAAAAAATAAATAAAAAAATAACCTAATTACACACATTGCTGCGTTTGTGATCAAATCGCAAGCAGGCAACCGGGGTTGCGTGACTTTTATTTTGAAGGGAGTTGACGGGAAGCGAGCTCCCAACGGCTGCTACCTTGACAACGGGTCAATAACATGTATATAAGGGCAGGAAACTTGCAAACGTTAGCGCAACCGTTATCAGTGGAGGGCGGCGTTGCGGCTCACAGTCACAACACAATTAATCATTAAAAGAAACAAACAGCCCTCTTACACCAGCTGTGAACTCTACATTTATACGTCTTCACATGTACATAAAACCGGTGTGTTGGTTGGCTTTTTCACCCACCTCTTGCTCGGTGTCCCCCTGCTCCGATACTCCAATTTCACTGGGCAGTTCGGCCAGATCCGTGACCCGAATGAGTCCGTCGTGGAGGAAAATGGTCTCCTCCTTCACCGAAAGCCACTGGGACGAATCTACAGCCCCGGAGCCCATCGCTCTCTCCTCCGACAGCGATGCCAAAGGGGTCGAACATTAAAAATTCAGTGGCAGAGTGAAACAGAAACGCCCTAGCTAGCCTGCTAGCGAGCTACAATAACACAACTGCCCGTTTTTTTTTTTGTGTTGTTGTTTTTTTTTTTTTTAAAACCGTCGCCGTTTTTTTTTGTTTCTTGTATATTCAGAGCGGGTTCTTAGTGGCTGACAGCGGGTAGTAGCGGCAGCGTCTCTGCACGTAACACGGGGTTGGTCGTGTCGTTAGCTGGAAGCGAGGCTCCACTTACCGTACGGTTTAATCGTTATAACGTTACCGAGCAGAGTGGGCGTGTGCACCCGGGCTAGAATCCGTTATTTTCGCACCGCGCCGTTAAAACGACAGTCCTTTCGGGATCCGCGGTGCGCTCATTTTCGCCCGTTAGGATCCGACCGTTGGCGGCCGGTGTGTCAACGGCTGGAGGAGATAATGAGAGGCTGCAGCTGTCAGAGAGACGCCATGTTTCCAAGGCCAACGAGCTGCTCCCAGCATGCACCGCGGCCCAGCATCAGAAAAAAACAAAAAAAATAAAAAATAAAAAAAGCTGTCGTGAATTCATGTTGGTGTCTTATTTTATATTATGAAATGTTTGTATTATATGTGTTGTATTGTTTTGTTACTGTGGTAATAAGACAATTATTTTATTTTTTGGTTGTTTTTCTGAGTAATTATTTGTGGTTTTTTGAGTTATTTATTTTTTGGTTTGTTTTTCGGGGTAATTTATTTTTTTGGTTTGTTTTTCTGAGTAATTATTTGTGTTTTTTTGAGTTATTTATTTTTTGCCCTGAAAACAAACAAAAAAAGATTACCGAAAAACAAACAAAAAAGAGTTATCGAAAAAAACCAAAAAAATTACTCGAAAAAAACCATAAAATAAATTACTCGAAACAAAAACCAAAAAATGTTATTATCAGAAAACACAAATACAATTACTCCGAAACAACCAAAATGATATAATCAGAAAAAAACAGAATAATACTCGAA